GCTGGGACACGCCCACCGCGGCAGGCCACGCCCACTCCCACTGACCACACCCACTCCTTGAAGCCACGCCCACTCCGGGTAGGGGCGGGGATCCAGCTGAGCTGCCCCTCCCACTCCTCTGCTGTCCTTCTTGGGGGGACCCAGGCATCCGGGGGGTCAGGCCGCCCATCCCCTGTCACTCATCCTCCCGGCCACGCCCCTCTTGGCCTTCCCTCCCACCCAAGCAGCGCCCACCTTCACCTCAATTACATAACCCCGCCCCCTCCCAGCCAGGCGAGGACACGCCCCCTCCCCGCAGCAGCCAATGGGAGCGCGGCAGGGGGGCGGGGCCAGCCCTTGGTGCTTCATCTGCTTTTAAACCCTCAGCAACATCAGATTTCTACTTTTGCCCCAGTTTGTCTCATTTCTGTGAAAGGTTTTTGTGGTGCCAGGAGGGGAAATGGAACCTGCTGTTTGTTCTTAAAGGCTTATTTGGAGAAATTATTAAATTTAAACATAATTGTGTTTAAATTTTGTGGGGTCATTAACGGGTTGGTGGGAAAAATGATGCGGTTTAGTGGCTGAATTTGGTGGTTTAGTAGTTTAATTTGGTCTTTTAATCATATTTTAATGACAAAGGAAATTGAAACAAGATGGTTAAGGGGGGAAATGGAGAAACAGGGGAAACTGAGGTAATATTTGGGATATTTGGGGGAAATAAAGAGGGAAAAGCCCAGTGAAATTTGGGCAAAATTAAATAATTTTTATGAAGAAATTTGTGCATATTAGGCAAAATTGGGGCAAAAATGGGAAAATTGGGCAAACTGAGGGAGAAACAATGAATTTGAAGGGCAAACTGGGCAAATTTGGGGTGAAAATGGAAAACTATGAGGGAGAAACCAGTGAATTTTCAGCAAAATTGGACAAACTGAGGGAGAAGCAAGTTCATTTGATGCAAAATTGGGCAAATTTAGGGGGAAAATTGGGCAATTGAGGGAAAAGTGAATTTGAGACCAAATTTGGGGTGGAAATGGGAAAACAGGGAAAAACAAGTGAATTTGAGGCCAAATTTGGAATGAAAATGAGGAAATAAGAGGGAGAAACTGGTGACATTTGGGCAAAATTGTGGAAATGTTATGGAGAAATGTGTGACTTTGATGCAAAATTGGAGAAATTTGGGGTGAAAATGGAGAAATTGGGCAAAATTGTGGGGAAAATTGGAATTTGGAGAGATGGGTGAAACATATCTGGGCAAATTTGAGGGAAAAATTGGCCAATTTTGAGGCAAAATAGGGGAAGCTTGGAGTGAAAATGGAGAAAAATTGGGGAGAAAGTGAGTTTGAGGCAAATTTGGGGCAAAAATGGGCAAATTTTGGGAAATTTTATGAAGAAATGGGTGAATTTGTTGTAAAATAGGGGAAATTTGGAGGCAAATGGGGAAATTGAGCAAAATTGGGGACATTTTATGGAGACGGGCAAATTTGTGGCAAATTGGACAAACTGGGAGAAATTTTACTTAGAAATGGGTGATTTTTTTGCCAAATTAGGGCAATCTGGAGTGAAAATGGGAAAAATGGGGCAATTTTAATGAGAAACTGGTTCATCTGAGGCAAATTTGGGGCAAAAATCAGGAAAATGGGGCAATTTTGAAGGGGAAATGTGTGAATTTCTGGCCACGTTGGGCCAATTTGGGGTGAAAATGGGAAAAACTGCCCAAATTTTCAGCCACACACTCACCTGGGTCAACACCAAGAGCAGCAGGGACGCCCTCCTGACCCACCATCGAGTCCTTCCAGCAGCTCCTCAGCCATTGAGCCCCCCCAGCAGCAGACAGGACAACCAGTGACACTGACAGGTGCCCAGTGGCAGCACGGGAGGTGTCCAGGCTTGTCTCTCATTGGGAACGTTCTTCAGAGGTTCCCCTCTCATTTTCAGTCTGTTCCCTTGGTCGCCGACCTCGGTCTAAAGAGCTCCGTGGTTGCACTGCCCTGTCTGTGCTGCTGTGTCCTTAGAAACCACCCCGATGGCCTTTTGAAGCTCTTCCTGCCCTCCTTGTGCCTTAAGACCAAGAACCATAGTCAGGATCCACCTCAAGACCTTCAAGTCGCTTCAGGATGTTTCTTCACAGCTGTTCATGGTCTGATTTTAAAAGACCCGATCAAACCAGCCCGGAAAGAACCCGGGGCACCTCAGGCTTCTGCTCCCAGGTGTGCTCAGAGGGGTGTCCTGGGCAGGGGGCCTGGTGACCGGGGGGGGGTCGCTTGATCTGCATACGAAAATAACATGATAATGAGATGATAATGACATAATGACATGGTAATGATGCGATAATGACACGGTAATGACATGGCAACGAGATGTTGACATGATAAAGACATGGGAATGACATGATAACGACATGACGACATGACAATGACACGCTAATGAGCTGGGCTCACCTCCAGGCCCCCCCAGCCGCTCCCTGGCTCAGCTCCTGCTCCTCCGTCCCCCC